AATGCCTAACGGAATAATGCTCGCCCATGACGGTAGGTTAGTCGACATTCACTTTAGAGTGGTGTGGGTCAGGAAATTCGAGTCGTGGCGGCACACCAAAACCAGCTGCGTGCTCAACTGGTCAACTAATTAGTCATTCAGCTTAAATGTAACGATTCGCATCAAAGAGCGTGAAATCAAGCAGGTCCCCTCACAAATGCTGCGCACACAGGCAGATGGGAAGCATCGTGCTGTGTTTCGGATTTCCTGAACCGCATCCAGTTCAAACGCTATTGCTATCCCGAGAGGATCTGTGTGATCAGAGTTGGTGACTTGTTCCGAGTTATTATTTTTGGTTTTAGCGATGCCGTTACAATTGATATTGTCGCATTTAATCGGGGCGGAGCCAGGAGCCATGAATGGACCCACAGTGGCATTTCCACAGCTGGTTTTTTCTACACTATAGTTCTCTGCGGACGGTTGGGCGTGTCAGCCAGTATGAGTGTGTCACCCTATCAAAGCCGTTCTCTGCCTTCTTGTTGAAGAGCGTCTGCGACAAAAAGTGGTAGAAGACTAGTAATACGAAGGATATGATACAGTATTGTCACTTGCCCGCTTCAACTGTAGAACGAGTTTGGCACCGCGCCAAACGCAGCCGCACTGACACGCCCAACCGTCCGCAGCGAACTACACTATATCTCAATCTATCATCAACCGATCACGATTGGTGGAAAAGGCAGCAGAATGGGCTCATTCAGCTCCTAACACAGCCCTGGCTGATTGAGACCTTACCAACTATAAATCTGCTTTGTGAAGTTGCTCAGTACATTTCAGCATGATGAGTACAGACAGTGGTATACCCGCATCACAATACTAGTGCACGCAACGCATCCGTGCGCGGCAACGTTTACAGATTTTACACTTCTTTCTACATATTCACTCATTCGAAAATTAGAGTTAACGGGGATGGGAGTCTGGGTTCTTTAACTCTTAATCGGCGAGCTCGGCATGGTGGGGGGGGGGCATTTTGCTTCCCCCATCGATCAGGATAGATTCCCTCTGAGAAGACCTATGAATTCCTGCAAAGCTATGCGACAGCATGAGCTTCGTTCACGCTCAGCAAGAGTCTACAAGTCTCAGCAAGGTGAAATGTCTAATATAGCAAGAGCTGGCAACAGAAACAAGCAAAAGTGCAAATTGCCCCCTCCTTCCCTCACCCTCGCCCCTTAATCTTTGAAGATCTTCGCAAGAAACTGTACCCTGAGAGACTTCGGCCTGATAATTTGCTTGCGTTGTTGATGGTTTATGGTGTCCACCAGTGACTCGGCTGCGTGCACATGTACTTGTTCCTGGAATCACTGAACCATTTGAAGTGATTTTTGAGATCATGGCATGAATTCTTTCACTACCTTGGCATTGTTCTTGGCCGGGTTGCTGACCTCTGGAGCCTCGATGATCACTTCATCAACCTCGATTTCCTCTGGTTCTTGCTGTTTAT